TTCCACCATACGGCCAGAATTAGAATTAGGGTTAGGGTGAATCACATTTTGTAATGTTAGTCATTATTGTTATTTTAACATGGTGGAAATAGTAGATCCCTAAAATTAATGCAAACATTTATCGTTATCGTAAACTCCTATTTTGGGATTGTGTTACGGCAAATCCGGCTATTTGGGATTTGGGCACGTGCCGAAACCATCGGGTTTGGGTCCCATCACTAGTCTCAAGGGTTAGAAAAGAATAATTTGAGGATTTATTATTAACGAAGAAAAAAAAAGAAGTATATGGTAATTATTAACGAAGAAAAAACTAAAGTATTATATAATAAAGTACTTCTTAAAAAAACCATTTTTTAAAATTTTATTTACTCATCATAACTCGTATCAACATAATACGTAATTAGTTCTTTCATTACATTAAGAACTGCTATCGTTGATTATAATATGTTTTGCATTAACTGTTAATAATTGACTTCAGGACTTGTGTCGTTTATCAATCGGTGAAAATTGAAAATTAAAAAATGACAGGCGTCAACTAATAATCGACGTAAATTGAAAAATGACGCATAACATATACAGTATATACTTTACAGTAATTAAAAATTTTCGGTCATTTCTTTCAAAATTTTAGCACCGTTAATTCTTGGATCTAATTTTTAAACATCGATAGTTAACTGATTTTGGCGTGATGCTTGGTGGGTTCTATGTTTTATGCACTATTTGAAGTCGATTTTTTTCGACTTGACCCAGTTGACTAGACTCGTTGACTTTTTAACACCCCTATCAATTTTTTGAGTAAACTACCTAATGATTACACTCTGCAAGCATCATTGGGAATTTACATCGGTTTACCGTATAAGAAATCGGCAATTTTTTATTAAAATATTTTTTATGTTGTCTCTCTTCCTTACAAATTATTTTATCTTTTTGCGTTACAATGCTTATCATTTTTAAAAGAATTAAATTTGTTTCTTGATTTATAACTTAGTTTATTGATTCAAACCTCATTTTAATTTTTAAGCGGCTAAGAAATAAATTTATCGATAATCAAACTTGTGCGATTTCTCCAGCGTAACCACCAAAGCTCGGGCCTAACAAAAAGTTTTCATTGAGCTATTTCTGCATTTTACTATATAATTCACCTGCGTAAATTGTAATATAATTTCTAACATAACTGAGCTTTAAGCATTTTCGATCATCACAGAGCTCTAAAAACGATTTCATATTCAAATTTTTAAAAAATGTGTTTTTTGATTGTGTTACATAACACCAAATTATGTTTATTAATCATTGGTCAATCATCACGTGCTTGAGTTTTTTGGTGGTTACATTGTGGTAATTCTAACCAAAGATAAGTTACCATTATCTTATTATGTATTGTAACCCTCAGTTTAAAAAAATCTAATCAAAATTACCTAATCTTTCAATTATTTGATTAGTTGGTCAATTATGTAATAGAGACAATAATTCTAAACTTGAACTAAAATGTATGATGAAAGAACATATAATAAATTTCAAAAACTTAAAAGTAGAAATATTTCAAAATCTTAACAATTATAGGGACATAAATTAGTGGTTGCCACAAAGATAATGTTTATTACCAAACATACAATACTTTCACGATAGCTTGAATCTTTAACGATTAGAATTATATCAATACGCTTTATGACGTTAACAGATCACGTCTAGATCGAGGAGAGAATTCAAAATGTAGACTATTTTTTCCCTATAATACAATAATTGATACTACCGGTAAATTAAATCCATACACTTCCCGATACTCACTTTATAGGCACAACACTTATCTACATGCTTGTTTCACAGATAACTTCATTTCGCAAACAACTCAATTCACAGACAACACATTACCGACAAGTTTATTTCTAATAAATTCCTCTAACCTTAACCCTAATTCTAATGACAAACAATTAGTTGTGAAAAAAGATGTTGGTGAATTGATTAAAGTATTGTGAAATGAGCAGCACCGTAGAACTTGCATCATCTTACTCCACTTGCTTACTAATATGCGTAATTTTAATGCCATAACTTAATATTGAGTATTGACTTATAAACCATGCCACTACCAATCTTTTAAACTTTTATAGGCTCATCATATTTGAATTCAATGATTTTCCTTCTTCGATTTTATTATTAATCAAACTTGGTTTATTTTAGTACCACGACTTGTTATAATTACTTGAAAAATCTCAAAATTGCTGTCATGCTGCTGTCATTCTTAAGGCAACCTAAATCAATGAATCGAAATCAACTTTTATTGTTGTTCTTAATAGAACCTGTCCTTTCTTAATTGAAGATATAATATTTATGACCAACATACATCTGTAATACAATACGGATGAGTCGTCGAACAAGTCAAAAATGCATATCACGACAAATTTTACTGTATAAACTTCAAAAAAGTTATGTATTTTGAGTGGCGAGTGAAAAAAAAAAAAAAAAATCAAAAACCAAGCCCAGTAGATTATCAAGTTGCTTAACGTTAAATACTAGGCTTCAGTTAATGATCAGTATTACGACATCAGTGACTTTGTCTCATGTGGAAGGTCCAGTGATCACAATAATGTACCTTGTTACTTCGTTTACACAAGCGGTTCATACAATTTAGTCGATCAAGAAAGCTCCTCATCGCAATGAAAAATTTTTTCGAGATCGTTTTTTGATTGTAGAGATGGGCAATGTAAGCAATATGTATTTTTTAACTCTTAACTTTATGACTGATTATTACTTATTATAATTCACAATCAACTTTGAAAAAAACGAAAAAAACATGCTTCTGAAATTTAAAATCATTGCCCATCCCTAGTTTATTGTACTAAATTTTAATTTCCGATTCGCAACTGAATTTCCAGTAAAATCGCTATAAGAATTATTTCATTGTTGTAATTCTTGTGCACGATTTCGATCACTATCAAATTACATTGAGGTACGTACTTGAGAACGCCTAAATCTTTATCGATATCACATCTGGAATAATAGCATTAATTAAATATATCGATATCATCTTAATCGCATATATCAATATAATTATCTTATTTATCATTCAATATCACCAAGTATTTTTTTTTTTTTTTATTCATACATTTTGTATTTTATATAAAATTCTATCGCTAAATTACTGAAAACAAATAACTCATTTCGACATATTTAATATCTCTTTAATATCAAAACTAGTTATAAATTTCATTTTTTAAAATTCGTTCTTCGCGTCTTTATACCCATTTACTAAGATGTCCTTGGAAGAAGATTTTGAAGAAATATCGATAGACAGAAGAGAAGTTAAAAAGATATTGCTTATCGGCAGAACAGGAGGTGGCAAGTCTACTCTAGCTAATGTTCTGGTTAAAAAAGATCAACAATTTTCAGTAAGCAGTTCAAGCGGTAGTTTAACAAAATCAATCCAATCGGAGATTTTCGAAGAAAATGGAATAAAATACCAAATAATTGACACCATTGGCCTTTGTGATACTGCGATGTCAAAAGAAAAAGCAATTAGTGAACTTGCCGAAACTTGCCAAATGTTAAAAGGAGGTTTATACGAAATTTTCTTGGTAACTGGTGATAGATTTACTGAAGAAGAAAGACAGATGTATGATACATTGAAAGTAACAATTTTTGATCATAAATTTGTTCATTATACAACTATTATTCGCACAAAGTTTCCGAATTTTATTAATGAAGAAGATTGTAAAAAAGAAGAAGAAAATTTGAACCGAACTAATCCTGAATTTTCAAGAATAATTAAAGAATGTAAAAACATTATTTTTATAGATAATCCTCCTTTGACTGGATTTCCTAATGCCGTTAACGCAAATAGAGAAGTACGCGAGTATTCAAGAAAAAAAATTATTGAAAGTCTCGTTTTTAGTTGTGAAAAATACTATCCACCTGCCTTAAAAGAAATAAGTGAAAAGGTTGTTACTTATTTTACTGAAAAAGTGAAGTTAGAAAAAGATTTAGAAGAAGCAAAGAATGCAAAACACTTGAGCGATGAGGAAATAAAAGAAAAGGAGAGAAGAATAAAGGAACTTGAAAAAGAGATAGAAAGTAATAAATTCTCTCGATTTTTTATTCCCGTCCCCGTTTCATTATGCTCAATTATGTAGTTTGACTATGTTTCTTCCTTTAATTCTTATCAAACAAAAAAAATTATAAATAATCTAGATAGATATAAAGTATATATCATTCTTTTTTTTTTTTTATATTATTAAATTATTATATTATAAAATTTATTTCATTTTTATTTTACGTATATTAAAATTATCCCGCTGTCACGATTGCCCTGTCCGTTCTAAAGTATTTGATTGGTAGAATATGGTTCCTGTGATTTCTTATGAAATCTCAGATCATTCCAGTTATAGATATAACTGACAGGTATGCAGGAGGACAAATTACATATATTATGAAAGTTTCAAATAGTCTTAATAACTTTTTATTAAATTATTTTTGTTTTACGTTTATATGAAAAATTTAAACATAAAAATAAGTTAAGTTACTAAAATTATTTGAAACTTTCATAATATATCTAATTTGTCCTCCTGAACCACTTTACTTAAGACGAAATTATCGATTAATTAATAATATTTTGATTTGTATATGTAGCTACTATTATCGATCATATTTTATAAAAATTGATTTTTGCCTAATAATCAATTTTTATTACGTAGTACATAGTCAACTAGCTATGCTAAGCCTATAATTTAATAAAAAGCAGTATAATTTAATAAAGTTTTATATTCTAATAAACAACCTTAGACAAGAGTATATTACTGCTAGTGCATAGGCAACTAGCTATGCTAAGTCTATAAATTTACAAATAAATAATCTTGGACAAGAGCATATTTTTGTCATTTTACGGCTAGTGCATAGGCAACTAGCTATGCTAAATCTATTAATTTACATATTAAAACTATTTTATACCTGTATAATTTGTTCGATTTATTAGATTCATTAATCACTAGTTAAGACTATTTTTATTATCCCACACCAAGTCATTGAAAAAGTGCCTATTAAAAAGTAATTAACGGCTTATTATCAGTTATGGTCTGTCATTTGGAGCACTTTACATTCGATTCTGGGAACTTACGTGCCATTTTTTTGTAAAGCAACCAGGATGGCCTCCAAAAGTTCGATATATATGGTTCCTCGCATAAATATTGCATTTTGTGCGATGTGATAATTTCAAATCGTGCGGTTGAAAATTGCACAATCTATAGATAGCCCCAGCCTCCTTCCTCACTTTGTACATTTTGTAAAACAAAGTGTACAACGCTCATTGTTTTGCATTTATCATGATGCAGCAATATATTACGTACGTACAAATATTTCTTAAAACTAAGTAGACAACGCCCATTGTTTTGCATTCAGCATGATGCAGCAAGTATCTTACAAATATTTCTTAAAAACAATTTTTCTTTCGTACTCTTTCTTACTTTTTCATATTTTATTTTTACATAACAAAAATGTCAGATAAAGAATTATGTTTTACTGATTATCAAAGATCAGCAGATATGAATAACCCTGATGGAATTTTTATGCTTGGTTATTGTTATGAACATGGAATTGATGTTGAAAAGGATGAAAATAAAGCATTTGCTTGGTATAAAAAATCAGCAAATATGAATAATTCTAACGGAATGTTTCAAACTGGCTTTTGTTATTACCATGGAATTGGAGTTGAAATGGATAAACACAAAGCATTTGAGCATTACTTAAAATCAGCTGAAATGGGCAATTCTATCGGAAT